TCATAAGGCTCGAAGAAAATCCACATCAGAAGCACAAGAAACAAATTTCAAGGCGAAAACTGACGTATTGTACGTTGACGCGACCACATACAGAGAGCGATCCGGGACAGTTGTAAGCGTTGCTGATCACCAACTTAGAAAAGTCAACAGCGCTTCGATCAGAAGCAACAACATCCTCGAGGCTGAAAAAGTAGCGATCGCACTCTGCAACACACACCAGAGCGAAGAATCTACTACAGAAATAGTAACTGACTCGCAAGAAGCTTGTCGACGGTACAGCAGTGGACGCATGTGCAGTGCTGCCATCCGCATACTCAAGGGAAGAAAAGTCAACTTCTCGAGCCGCTCCATTACGTGGACACCAGGCCATAAAACTGTGACAGGGAACCAGCGTGCCGACGCCATTGTCCGAGAATACGCCGACTGGGGGGGTGCACAACGACGTGAAATCAGCCAGAGTTACTAGAAGATATGGAGCAATTTTAGAACACCAGAGAGCCCTGAGGAGGATATACCATCCTCCCAACAAACACCTCAGCAGAGAGTAGTCGGTTGCCTGGAGACAGCTGCAGACTAATACGTATCTCATTCTTGTGAGTAAAATCTATGCGGGAATTTAGGCCAACCGATGCCGGCTATGCAGAGAATACTCCACACTTTACCACGTGACATCGGCCTGCCAACACACATAGGTAGTGCCAAGAAACTGTACACCAACAACGGAGCAGTCAGAGGCTGCGCTTTCTTGCTCTGAGCCTGAAAAACAGCTGAAGCTGATCGACCGAGCTTGCAAGATGCCAACGGCCACAAGAGCCCTGGACTGAGGGCTTCACCTTCACCAAAAAAATATTTGTAATAAAGTTTTGCATTCATTTATTCATTCAGATTGGGCAATGTCACGTTACTTTCCTCAAGTTTTGTTATCCCCCTGTTACACTACATTCAACGCTAACCACACCTATGATGCTCGAGAAGCTTCGAGGCTTTAGTATAACGTTTTGTTAAGATTACGGCCAGATTTAGAACGTCACAGAATATCCGGGAGCCTAGGTCGCCGCTAGCGATAACACTAGATTATTGTATAGGAAGGGTATAAATGCCGACACGCTTCGCCGCTTGTCAGTCGATTGACGGCCGATGCTCCATTCGCCACTATCAGTGCAAGACTGCTACTGTAATCCTACTTCCTGTTCACCGGGTGCAGGTTCGCCCCAATAAGCAGTTTATTATTCGACCCACAAGTGTTACATTCGTCCACGTCACGACCCTGTGACAATATGGGTAATTTTGGACGTTACATCACGCATATCAATCAATCTCGATAGCAGCAGCTCATTAACATGAATTGCATATAAGCACTTAGACGCTCTTTGTATTTCAACCTTGGCGAAAAGTGGCTGTCTTGGCAGAGAAGCAGTGCGCAGAAATTTAGCAGTCTGGCCAACATTTTGTATGAGTATTTTTTTCATGGCTGAGTGTACTGAAGACACAAAATTCAAATTACTTGTGCGCGTGAGAACAGCTTCAGTGACATAAACTGTGTGCTGATTTATACATGTTCACGCAATGCACACCCTGCACAACATTGATTTTCAACCACATCGCAACGACCAAAGAGCTTTGAGAGCCACAGTAAATGCAATGCGCCCACATCAATTAGCAGGGTCCCGGTAGTAACGGATCTCAATATGTTCCAAAACACCCAATTACTCTGTTAGACCAAGGTAGTTCGGTAGTGTGTACAATTATTTTTTTCTGTAAGTCTTCCTAAACGCAGACAATATTTAAATATGTTGTTTTATTCCAGTGTCGTTCGTTCCCTTTTTACGAACTGTCCAATCCAATCAAATGGTTTAATTGTTCGTGGTGAATTTATTGTTATATTATTGCGAGAAATAAAAGAGAACAGACTTTCAGCATTTTGTGCAAGGTGGGATGACGCATGAACGATTCTTGGTATCATCCCGATATTGTTCGAACGCACGGAGCATCAATCACCTGACAGTTTTACAATAATATCAATTAGCTAGACAGAAATAGCAGGTATACCAGGAACGTGTAGGCGGTCGTCTAAAATATAACTGTTAAAAATGTAGCATTTGGTGTGTTCGGGCATGTAAGTCGATGTCAGCATTTAACATTAACTTTGCCAGTATTACTCCGTCTATATAAAGAGCGAGTAGCAAGTAATTTGTTAACTCTCCGAAGGAAGCACCTCGCAAAAGCCAGAGGGAAATACTGCGGATCAGCAAGCAGATAGTATGGCGTCCTATCTCTTCATAACAGCACTCTGCATTTTTCTTCTGATTGGTAAGTTGTGACTTGCTAAAAACAAATAAGGGTGCAAGTTCAAGTAAAACTTAAAGATGCATTTTAGACTCACCATCATCATCAACTCCTGACTAAGTCCACAGCAGGACAAAGACCTCTTCCATGTTCCCGCCAGTCATCTCTGGTCTGTGCTTGCTGCTGCCAATTTATATACGGAAATGTCTAATCTAATCTACCCACCTAACCTCTGTCTCCCTCTTAACTTACTTGCCCTTGTCTAGGAATCCAGTTATTACCCTTAATGATCAGTGGTATCCTGTCTGAGCACTCGTGATACATGCCCGGCCCTTGTCCATTCCTCTACTTGATTCAGCTACAGTATCTTAAACCCCGATATCTCCTAATGCACTCTGCCTCTTCTAGCTTCTTAAGATTACACCTATCATTTTCTTTTGGTTGCTCACTGCGTCATCCTTAATTTTTTCTGAATCATAGTATTTGAAAACTTTCATTTCCAAAGAGACGTCATTCTTAATGATTTTCAGGATAAATATCTAATTCCGCCAATGCCGATATTTGAGCAGACGAGTATGTAGCGTGTATATCTCGGGATTCCGCAGGAATCTGTTCAACGAATAATTCACAATATCTAAAAAGACATTAGGCGATTCTTGAAGTAAAACATTTACACGAAATTTGTAATTTTCTGCGGTCCTGGGGCAGTCGCTGCTAAACAAACTACAGTTTTTGTAAATTCAGATATAGAAATTTCTGTAAACTAATGTATAGATACCTGCTTGTTGCAAGTATTCGAGGAATCTGTACAAAGCGCCGTTCTAAACCTCTAGCTATCTCTTCCATCGAGGCGTTCATCTCTTGCGGAGTCAAAATACATCAATCTAAAGTTAAAGTTGTTGGCAGTTCTTTTCTGATCACAAATACCCAAACAAAGCATTTTTATTGTTTGATTTGCAAAATAATCGAAAACCTCGACTCTCATATTCTTCGTTCGCGAATGGAGCAGTGTGCCTAAATACGTCTGTAAAAAAATGATAGTCTTTTCTATTTGTAGGACGGTGATGATGTAGAAGCTTTCTTTCAAGCGGTTTCTATCTTCTGTTCTCACGATTACATCCATCAGTCACCAACTACAGGATGACTGATTACTCAATAAAATAACGAGTTTTTAATTTTTTGATATTACTCTAGTATGGAGCCGATCTTCGGCGTCATTCGCTGGCCATTGTCATTCTTAACTTTTGCAGTGGTCGAACGCAGACAGATGTGAAGTTTCTTATGGTTGAGATATACTCGACGTTGCTGCTCAAGAGTTGTTATGGGACATAAAATGCCAAAAAATACTGCAAGATGGTCGCTGTTAGTTACAGATTGAACCACGGACCATGACGAAACATTATTAGCATTGGTACAAAAAGTCGAATCTAACACTGCTTGAGCCTGACCTCAAACGAATGTGACGTGTCCTTTATTTATACGCGAGACACTTTTGTCAATGGACCAATTCGACAAACGTCTACCACACAGGTCTCTTTTATAGACCGAAAGGTTTAAATAGCAAGAACTTTGGTGCAGTTAAACACACAAAACACATGGTACGCAGTTTGCGTTCACTGTTCTGCCATAACGTTTGTGAATGAACTAAGACGCATAGGAAGCCTTGCGCATAAGGATATCAGTTTTCTTTCTTCATCTACGAAGTACAGGACTTGAACACTTTAACTATTTTCCCAATATCCATATTCATTCATCAATTTATTTGGGTATACACATGCAAGACTGTTGCGTACACAGCTCCGCTATGTATATTTGCTTGTCATGGGCTAGCTCGAGAATCGAAACTTGAGCAAGTTGGTACGTATTCGTCTTGATTTAGGCTGCGCACTGGGAGACGAGGAATAAAAAAAGAGTGTCTACAACACGGGCGCTCATTCGCAACAAACTTTCATTCAGAAAAAAAACAAAAATATAAAGGGGAAAAAATACTCATCGGAAAACTGATAATCTTTGTATTCAACATATGCAGGTGGCGCTTATGTATCGGAATTGCGCATCGCTCAGCCTGATAGAAGGTGTACACTGATTACGTTTTTCTTTTTTCCTTCAGATGCAGAAAGCTTTAGTGCCCTCTCTTGCTATCTGTTGTGTGCAGTGACAGTAACTTAGTCTCAGCGAAGAATGAATTGACACAACATTGTTACTCTGTGCGGCGAGTGGAAAATATTTTGGTGTCTGAATGTGATCGCTCATGCTCCCTAAGACAGATATGACGCATGCTCCGCTTTGTTCGACGTATGTTTACCCCATGATAACCTAGATTGGGAGACGATGGCCTTTTTGCGATCAGAAAAATGAAAAGTGTGTTTGATGCCACTATATTTTCGCGAACACTTTTTTTTTTTCTTCTGATTGTGTGTGTCATGAGCTAGCGTTCAGCGAACTTTGCAGGCTGACATGTCACGTATAATTTTGTTTTTCATCATACTTAGAGTAAAGCACCAATATGTCTTTTAACAATACGCAACTGGTTTGGGTTTTTCCTTACTTCAACGCAACGTTCTGCTTATTCAAAAAATAGAGGTTCCACTACCGAACAGCCTTGTCTTCAGCAATGTTATTTTGCACACAATAAACTTACACTAAAAACATGCATTTTAGAGAAAAGATATGACCGAACCGAATATGCAAGAGCTGTATCACTGCAACAAGATGAAAACCCACAACAGCGGGCCGTATTTGTTGAAGAAAGAGGTATGTATCGGAAGTTCAAAGCAGTCCAACTGGGTTAGAGCATTGTTCAAATATAATTCAGTTAGCTGGGTAACTGCTGTGTGTCTCACTCATTATTGTCGCTCCTAATAAATTAAGGGGGGCGATGGCGAAAAATATTAAGATAAACGTGGTTTTAGAAAGTTTCTAGGTGGGTTGGTCTACTTTCAATATTCGTGTTATATACTGATAGTATGATTATTCTATGTTCATTCTATACCCGTTTGCGGGTCGCTTCTTCAGTGAACATAGTGCGAACAGGGTTGCATGCCCACTGTTACAACAGGTTGATTATTTCAACCCCATTCTTCGTTCGGCGGTATTTTCACAAATCATCGCTTGGTTTCAAACTTGTGATGCGTCCAGCATCTGTGTTATGGAGTCTCCGTCAACTTGATGCGTGCTTATCGGTTCCTGAAATTGTTAAAAATGCACGCATGTGACCGCTAGGCCTGAAGCAATTGACTTTGCGTCTGCTGGACGAAACATACTTTGACCGCATCCATGTTTACACCGATGACTTCAATAATTCCTACAGCTTTACAGGAGCACTGGTTGTTCCATCTGGTAATGGGTTGTCTCAATACAAGTTTTTCTCAGACCTACGTCGACAGCAGTGGAGCTCGCAGTGCTTTAAGGTGCAGTTAAGTACATTCTTCAGCAGCGATCTAATCAATGGGTCATTTTTTTTCGCGAGTCGAGGTCAGCCTACAGACACTATGGTTTGGTATGTAGCACGGGTTACAAGAACAATCAGTATATGAGATAAGGCATGCCTATCACGAAGCGCGCGAGGGAGGTCACAGCATTGTATTTCAAAGGTTACTGAGTCATTGCAGAATTATCGACAATGAACCGCACGGGTGCATCTGCTCGATTGGCTCATGAACAAGACCTGCGTATGCCCATACAACCCTTGAGAACGGACGCTGCAAGGCGCCTACAATCACTTACTCGCCGTATAACACTCTTATAATAGAATGCTCCGGGTTTCTCTAGCCGGCGCCCTGTATTCGATCGACCCAAACTTGCAACTTCGTTTGCCATCCTGCTCCCAAGCTGTGCTGAAACATTGCTGTGTCGCATGAGGTTGGGCGTGGCTTTTTACGAATGCGTGCTCTTGTCTCCGCGGAACGGCGAGCAGTTCGGCATGCAACATCTGCGCCTGCGAGGAGACGCATGAGCACATTCCACAGCACTGCCCCGCATACCAGTCTGAACGACGTATTATAGAAGCCAAGATTCGTCGCTGGATTCATGGCTGCTTACAAATAGAAGATCCTGGGACATGGCCCGACGGTTTCGCATACGCAAAAAGCCACGAAAGTCTCTTATACTTTTTAACGACCACCAGGCTTCACAAGTGCTTTTCAGGAACATCGTGAGACCATGCTAGGTAGTCTCAAACTGACGATTCATCACCTCTTCTTACTTCACTTCTTTTCTATCTCTTTCTTTTCTATTCTTCTCCATTTCCTCCACTCCAAGTGCAGGGTAGCCATTCGAGACAAGCTTGGCTAAGCTCCCTGCCTTTCCTCTTTCTCTCTCTTTCTCTCTCTCTTTCTCTCTCTCTCTCCAGAGCCCTCCACTACGGCATCTCTCATAATTGTATCATGGTTTTCAGGACGTTAAACCCTGCAGATCAATCAATCAGTTAGTGTTTATGTTCCATAGGTGTTTAGACAATCGAAATTACTTAATGGCTGCGTCTTAGTTCATAAGGCACATTGCGAGTACATTGCACTTTAACATATTTAGAATGATTATACTTGATTTCTTGAAAACCTGAAGGAGAAATTGCAACTCATATAATTGATTTACCTTCAGCACAGAGTGTCCTACTACGCAGGGGCGTGTGCGTTTGGTGTATCAAAGACCACGGACGCAAGCAAACGGGGGGGGGGGGGGGTTTCGACTCCTTCCAACGTGCTGCCTTGCGTTGATTGGCCGTGTCCGGAAATAAGGGGCGCTGAAGATTCAGCCAACGCCGGCTGATAGGACCGTTAGGCCCCCTTGCAGCGGCAAACACATCCCTATGGCTCGGGTTTCACATAGACGGCACCCATAAACTGACCTACCCCGCGGAAATCTGCAGTCTCCTTTTCTTATTTTCCCTCTAATCTTCGTCTTTCTTTGTTAATTTCGATCTGTCATCTCCTGACTTCGTTTACTTCAACGTTACTCGGCAGCAAGAAATAACCTGCTGTGTAATACGAACCTTGAGTAGATATATTAGGATTATAGAGTTCATGTAGAGCTGTCGCCTGCTTTTTCATTGTCTCAAGCGTCCTCTCGTAAAGCTATATGGTGGACGGCTCCCATGGCTGCCGAATGAGCAGCTTAATTCATTCAGATCCTCTGACCTTTTCAAAAACTGATTGCTCCTCGAAGAGGTGGCGGACTGACGATATCTTTGAACTGCTGCCCAAAAGGAACGGCAACTTTCGGAAATAACATATTATTCAATGCCAGAAAAAAAGCGAGGAGTATATAACCTTTCTTTGCATCAAAGTGTCTCATGGAACACTGGGCGCGAGCTACAAAGCATAAGACCCACCAGTGGTGGCTTGCTCCTTGAATTGAAAGATCATCTACGATAAGAAATACTACGCGACTTGACAGCGTTCGGTGACCATTAATCACAATTATCCCACATCGTACAGTGAACACCGTAAAGGGTTTCGTGTCTGACGGCGACCTAATGGAACTATTCGATAACGAACTGCTAGAAGGCTGGAACGATGAAATTGTCATGCTTGTACAGCGTAATAAAATACAAATAGACAGCCGAGAAATTCTAACCAAACACATGATACTAACGTTTGGTTCAAGAACGATTCTACTAAAATAACAACGGCTACTTCAAACAACAAGTGATACCTCGCATTCCATACTCTTGGCAGTCGGCGGTGCTAAGGAACGCTACATGCGTCAAATGCGGCAGCAGAGGACTGACGACAGCTGTCGATTGAATTGAACTATGCCATTTGTGATGGGGACCAATCGGCATATTCCAGGTCTGACGTGGTCTGGAAGAAAAAATTATAATGTCGCTAACAAAGTCAAGCTAAACATCAGCTTTCAAGAAGCGAGACAGCGTGTTTTTTTGCGTTAGCCAGGGAACACGTCATACACTGAAGCAGTGCGAGGAGGGTCCCCCACCACTATGGTTATCGGGGATGCCTGGGATCCCGCCAGGCGTGCCGAAGCAACGCCGCAAGCCCCCATGGCGGGGGCACCCTAGGTGGCCCTGCCCGCCCTGAACATGGCCTTACGCAAGGCTTCTGTGAACTCTGATAGCAGCCAGAGAAGCACACAAACTAAAAACGTTGCATAAACCTCCGGCGAGGTGAAGTCGAAGGCTGCGTTCCTCTCGACGAAGCCTATCATACGTGCACGACTTTCTGTCCCCTTACCAGGACCAATAGACACAAACTAGCTCACTGGCGCAGTGCGGCGCTGAACGACTCGACCACTATTAAAAAAGGGCTAAACACTTAGTATGCAGCCTCCAAAAGGCTCTGTAAGTATGTCACTTTTTTTTCAGACACCAGGGCCTGGATTCACAAAACTCACTTACGAAAACATTTTGCGCAAGAGAAATTTTGTTGCGTAAGTCGATTCACGAAACGAAAAAACGGTCGTAAGAGGCCATAGTTGTCACATCGACCGCTGCAAATAAAGCGCGCTGTGACTGCCCGGGAACATGTCAGCGATGGTGATGCAGTTGCTAATTGCTTACGTCACCGAAAAGTGCTCTGTAAGTGGATTCACGAAGCGAAATTGTGCGTTAAAAACAGCATGGCTGAGAGAAAATCCCAAGAGTGGTCCGGACCACTCTTAGGAACAATGTGGCTACTTATAACCTGCCTGCCGCGGCGGTATACTTTGGTGCCCTGGCTGGTTTTGAGTTAATTCAAGCCCATTAAGGGCTGCCTGATGACTGCTGGTGCGTTTTTATTTCTTTCGGTGCTTTGAGCTTCGCGTGTTGTTTCCCTTGTACGCAGTGGATGGTTGTTGACAACCACCATCATGCAATAAGTGTGAAGTTGCAGTAATTGAAGAATTCTATTGGGCGTATATGGCATAAAACTACGCATGTAAAGATTTGTGGTGGATGAAAACCAATGTGATACGTGAATGGCCAGTGCATTCGAACGCGGCATGGCATAAGATCAACCTTATTTGTTATGTGTTGTGTTGCGCCCCATTTCATCCAATTAAAGTGCGACTCGAGATCCTTGCCTCATTGGTGGAAAGAGGTTAATGGGAGCACATTCTTTGCACGCTATTGGAAATAAAAATGAGAGGAAGTTTTCAGTGAGTGGTTCATAAAGTTTGTTCTCTAGTGTAATTTCATTGGCTCTAACTGTCCAATGGTTGCTATCTCTGAAATACAGCTGTCGATACACTTTGGGACGATTCTGGAAACAAATCATATTTTGTAAACCAAGCGTATTAGGGGTACGCGTGATTACGCATGGAACTACAAACAAATCATGCATCTTCACCTTCACTGTTCAGGACACCGATATGGACCATGATAATATGGCAAGCAATCGGAATGAATCAACCTAGTAACTTTGTATGACACCGAAAATATTGCCAAACCTTCACGATTCTGGAGCAAACCTTGGCTGACTTCATCCCTGCATCAATTACAAGCCATTTAACTGGGCGCACGAACATCATTTAAAGGTAGAGAGAGCCACTGACATGTATTTTGTGCGACGCAGCGACCACTTGACCTGAGAATAATAGCGTTGCGAAGGCGAATCCCCTGTCGCATGCTCTGATCGAAGCAGACGACAAACGCGAGCAGACGACGGCTTGGCCGACAGGCACAGCTTCTGATTGGTTGTGAAGCAATACCCTCTACATCAGCTCACTCTGTGACGTCGCCCAAAACCTTCTTTCATCTGGCACGCCTGTCCTGTTCGTCATATCACCCCCCTCGCACATAGGAGAAATTTTTTTCACGC